GGAACTCGAACCGGTGCCCATAGGGGATGCCAGCACCGCAGGCGGCAGCTTTACCTGCTACACCACAGTGCCGGCTCCAGGCATTACTATTTTTAACCACGCAAACAAGAAGTTTGAAAAAGAAATATACTACAATATTAAAAGGGTTTGGTGCTTGAATGATGAGCTTTTGTGTGTGTGTGTGTGGTTTCTTTTTCCTCTCTCTTTTATTTGTTTTATAACTTTTTAGTTTTGAAGTTAATTGTAGACTCACAGCAGGCTGGAAAAATGTCAAGGAGAGATCCCAATTCCCCTCTCTCAGCTTCACCTGGTGGGGACACCTGGAGTGACAGTGTACAGCATGCCCCACAGAACCGACCTCAATGGCACACTCTGAACACAGCCACAGACTTCATTCAGATTTCATAGGCTTTTACAGACACCCATTCTAGAATGAGTATAGTTCCATGCAAATAGGTCTCATATAAAGGCTTATGAGCTCATATATACATATATATTTTTTGACAGGCAGAGTGGACAGTGGGAGAGAGAGACAGAGAGAAAGGTCTTCCTTTGCCGTTGGTTCACCCTCCAATGGCCGCCGCGGCCAGTGCACCGCGCTGATCCGAAGGCAGGAGCCAGGTGCTTCTCCTGGTCTCCCATGGGGTGCAGGGCCCAAGTACTTGGGCCATCCTCCACTGCCCTCCCTGGCCACAGCAGAGAGCTGGCCTGGAAGAGGAGCAACCGGGACAGAATCTGGCGCCCCGACCGGGACTAGAACCCAGTGTGCTGGCGCCGCAAGGCGGAGGATTAGCCTAGTGAGCCGCGGCGCCGGCCAATTTTGAAAATTTTAAAAATCCATGCATATATAGGAGAGGTCTTCATGGAAAATTCGTATTATGAGAAAGATTATGCATAATTTCAAAAATTTTTTGCACTAAAATAAACTCCTCTTTTAATTTCATTTTCTACACACTCTTTGAAGTATTTTCCAAAATTTCGCTATTGAGGAAGGCTTCTCAAATTTTAATAGGCAGGGCCAGCCCCGTGGCATAGTAGCTTAGTCCTCTGCCTGCAGCGCCAGCATATCATATGGGTTCCTCTTCTGATCCAGCTCTCTGCTATGGCCAGGAGAGGCAGTGGAGGATGGCCCAAGTGCTTGGGCCCCTGCGCCCACTTGGGAGACCCCGAGGAAGCTCCTGGCTCTTGGCTCCTGGCTCCTGGCTTAGGATTGGCCCAACTCCTGCCATGGTGGCCATCTGGAGAATGAACCAACGGACGGAAGAGCTTTCTCTCTGTCTCTCCCTCTGTCTATAACTCTACCTCTCAAATAAATAAAGTCTTTTTTTTAAAAAGTCAATAGCAATTTACGAAAAGATTCTTTTAAAAATTCAATATGCATCATAGTGAGCTTATTAAAATTCAGATTTTGATTCAGTAAATGTTATAATCAAGAGTATAAGACTTTGGTAAGAGAGGGCACAGGAACTTCGGCAACAGGGAGACCTGGCAGAGAACCTGAAACAATAGTCTGGCTTGAGTTCACATTCAGAGGCTGTCCCAGGAAGGCTGCCTTGTGAGGTGAAGCCAGAGGGACAAGACCACCAGCTAAACAAGGAAAACTCAAGAAGCAAATCATTTAGAGTTTTGAACACCCAATGCATGAAGATATGTGTTGCTGAGTTGGGAAGGGGCTCCCTGCTCTCTTTTTCTATATTCTGGTGCCTCCCCTAATGCTTGCTATTTAAGCCCAGACAAACTGCATCTCAGGGAGACAGTTTCCTTAGAGCACGGCACCTTCCCACCATCTCCTCTGCCTGCCACAGGTAAATAAAGCTTTTCCTCCGAGTAGCTTCTGCACAACGCGATTATTCGGCAACACCACGAGTGGATGGGCTCCTTTGGTTCACTAACAGTTTGAGGCAAGGCCCAAGGCTCTACTTTTTTTTTTTTTAAGATTTATTTATTTATTTGGAGTTACACAGAGAAAGAAGGAGAGGCAGAGGCAGAGAGAGAGAGAGAGGTCTTCCATTTGCTGGTTCACTCCCCAACTGGCCACAACGGCCAGAGCTGTGCCCATTTGAAGCCAGGAGCCTGGAGCCTCCTCCGGGTCTCCCAAGCGGGTGCAGGGGCCCAGGGGCCTGGGCTGTCTACCACTGCTTTCCTGGGCCATAGCAGAGAGCCAGATCAGAAGAGGAACAGCCGGGACTAGAACCAGAGCCCACATGGGATGCCAGCACCGCAGGGGCCGGCGCTGTGGTGTAGCTGGTGAAGCCGAAGCCAAGGCTACTTCTTTTTTTTTTTTTTTTTTTTTTTTTTTTTTTTTTTTTTAGGCACAGTCGGACAGTGAGAGAGAGAGAGAGACAGAGAGAAAGGTCTTCCTTTTGCCGTTGGTTCATCCTCCAATGGCCGTCACGGCGGCGCACTGCGTGGTCTGAAAGCAGGAGCCAGGTACTTATCCTGGTCTCCCATGGGGTGCAGGGCCCAAGCACTTGGGCCATCCTCCACTGCACTCCCTGGCCACAGCAGAGAGTTGGCCTGGAAGAGGGGCAACCGGGACAGAATCCGGCGCCCCGACCGGGACTAGAACCCGGTGTGCTGGCGCCACAAGGTGGAGGATTAGCCTAGTGAGCCGCGGCGCCAGCCCCAAGGCTCTACTTCTAACAAGCCCCCCCCCCCTCCCCGGGTAGCACAGATGCTTCTGTTCTGCAAGGTACACTGTTTTAAAGCTATGGATTAGAGGGCAAAGACCTTAAGAAAGAATTAAAACTGGCCTCAAATGCAAAAGTGTACAAAAGAAAGAAGAGAGAGAGAGGAGAGAGGAAAGGAGGGAGGGAGGGAGAAAGAAATAGTTCAATAAAAGTGCCTTTCATCACAGATTCCACTTGGATCTTCCAAATGATGGACGATGAAAACAGCCTTGTCCACACCTGGCTGGTGAGATTATTCTTTCCATCTGCATGATTTTATTTACTCAAAATGGGCACATAGTTTTCCACCCACGGTTAGGTGTCTTTGGCCCAAAGCTTGAGTCTCTGGCTCATTGCTTTCCTTGGGAGACCTCATTTTGGTCCCATGGTGCCTAGGAACAGGTGCGGACCTAGAACCTCACAAAGCACGGAAAGGCGCAGCTCACAGGCACCGCTCAGACACGGCGCTTTTTGCCCAACAGCCACATGCTTGTTGAAGAAAATCGGGAGGCTTGTAGATGCTGCTTGTCTCTGGCACCTGACCTGGGCAGTGCTTTATTTAACCTTCTGTCTTTCACCAGGAGCTGTTTCTGTTCTAGCTTTGTCAGATAGACGACAGCACAAAACTCTCTCTTTGTAAAATTCCTCATGACCCAATCAAATAATATGTAAGAGTTTTCTTTGGTAATGTATAGATCTTAGGGCTTTTCTACAGGTATCACTGGACTTTCATGCACACTTCTTATTTTTTTCCTGGTTTTTTGTTTTGTTTTGTTTTGTTTGTTTTTCTTCTTCTTCTTCTTTTTTTACAGGCAGAGTTAGACAGTGAGAGAGAGACAGAGAGAAAGGTCTTCCTTTTTCTGTTGGTTCACCCCCCAAGTGGCCACTATGGCCGGCGCATTGCGCCGATCCGAAGCCAGGAGCCAGGTGCTTCCTCCCGGTCTCCCATGTGGGTGCAGGGCCCAAGGACCTGGGCCATCCTCCACTGCCCTCCCGGGCCACAGCAGAGAGCTGGACTGGAAGAGGAGCAACTGGGACAGAATCTGGTGCCCCAACCAAGACTAGAACCCAGGGTGCCGGCGCCGCAGGTGGAGGATTACCCTAGTGAGCAGCAGCGCCAGCCCCACACTTATTTAAAAAGCAATGCTGGCCGGCGCTGCGGCTCACTAGGCTAATCCCTCACCTGCAGCGCCAGTACTCCGGGAGGGCCCGGGAGGGCAATGGAAGATGGTCCAAGTGGCCCCTGTACCCGCATGGGAGACCGGGAGGAAGCACCTGGCTCCTGGCTTCGGATCGGCACAGCACCGGCCGTAGCGGCCATTTTGGGGGTGAACCAATGGAAGGAAGACCTTTCACTCTCTCTCTCTCTCTCTCTCTCTCACTAACTCTGCCTGTTTTTTTTTTTTTTTTTTTTTTTGACAGGCAGAGTGGACAGTGAGAGAGAGAGACAGAGAGAAAGGTCTTCCCTTTTGCCGTTGGTTCACCCTCCAATGGCCGCCGCTGCAGCCGGCGCACCGCGCTGATCCTGGCAGGAGCCAGGAGCCAGGTGCTTTTCCTGGTCTCCCATGGGGTGCAGGGCCCAAGCACCTGGGCCATCCTCCACTGCACTCCCTGGCCATAGCAGAGAGCTGGCCTGGAAGAGGGGCAACCGGGACAGAATCCGGCGCCCCAACCGGGACTAGAACCCGGTGTGCCGGCGCCGCAAGGTGGAGGATTAGCCTATTGAGCCACGGCGCCGGCTGACTCTGCCTGTTTTAAAAAAAAAAAAAGCAATGCTTATCAGACACAAAAAGATGAATACCACACATTCCTTCCTATATGTGAGACCTACCACTTTAAAAAAAAAAAGAAATGTCTGTGTGCACCACTTTTATTGCAAATAGTGTTTTGTTGAAGTTTTTTTTTACTTAGAAAAATTATTTATTTCTGCTCCTTTCATACATCATGTTGGTCAGGAAAGCCTTGCACACATATCTGAAACATCATACTACCACACACTCTGTTTAAAGGCAAAGCACCGTAGGTAAAGCTGATGAGCTGTCTAGAGTTCTCAGCTGGTGGGGTCATGCTTCGTGTTTTACATTGAGTTCTGAAAATCAGAAATGTCATCTCCAAAAAATGTTAAGGGGGTTGTAAAAAATAATCACTTGATTCAACATTACGAGTATATTTTCTTTAAGAAATGAAAAACTAAGAAGAAAATGCCAGTCATCATTGGTATGTCAGTACAGGTCAGCAGGAAAAAACACTGTGATAAACTGTCTCTCTGACACCACGAAGAAATTCTAGTCTAAGCTTGAATATGCTTCCTATGCTTAGTCGATACTTTACTGCTGTTCATTCTTTTCCACATTTCATGCAGAGGATTGGTACAGCCTTTAAAACTTCATTAACAGGAGCAAATCCAGTATCTTGACTTCTTCTCAAAAGGCACTCTAACCCATCAGATAGCCCGGCAGTTTCATTCTCATGAATACTCTAGCCATGAAAAAACTCAATAGGACACAAATGAATCCAATGAATAGAAGAAGAAATCTATTGAGTTTTGGAATATTTGGTGCATTGGATCGGTCTAGGATAATGAAACCTAAACCTCCCATTGTAAACAGGAAGCTGGATGCAAGTCCTTCCATAATATATTGTCCATTTACTCTGTAGGCCAAGAAAGCCACTGGCCGCCGATGCCCGTGTTCATCAGTCATAGAGCCAACACTTGGAGGTTCAACAACAACATCGTAAATTATTCCTCCGGTGATGAGGAAGTAAGACACCACCACCAGAGCATACACCGTCATGGCCGACGGCATGTGCACCCACGGAGGCTTCTTCAGCTTCAGACTGGGACATTTGAGCACTAAAAACAGGACTCGGTACAAGGTCTCCATGTTAGCGGCGGCAGGGCTGTTGAAGTTTGTTTTAAATGTTTTTGAACAAAATGATAGAAATTATATGCTGCGATAGTTTTAATGATTTTGTGACTATTTTTACATTTATATGATTTAAGTTGAACGTCTTTCCATTTGATTATTGTTCATAGCTCTTTCCTGCTTTCCTATGAGACTAATGGTCTTTTTCCTTTTTTTTAAAGACTTACTTATTTACTTGAAAGTCAGAGTTACACACAGAGAGAAAGAGAGGCAGAGAGAGAGAGAGAGAGAGAGAGATCGAGATCGAGATCTTCCATCTGCTGGTTCACTCCCCAGTTGGCCGCCATGGCTGGAGCTGAGCTGATCCGAAGCCAGGAGCCAGGAGCTTCTTCCCAGTCTCCCATGTGGTGCAGGAGCCCAAGGGCTTGGGCCATCTTCTACTGCTTTTCCTAGGCCATAGCAAAGAGCTGGATCGGAAGTGGAGCAGCTGGGACTCGAACTGGTGCCCATATGAGATGCCAGGACTGCAGGCAGCGGCTTTATCCACTAAGCCACAGCGCCAGCCCCTTGGTCTTTTTACTTTTAGTTGTTGAGCTCTTTTTTAGTACAGTCATTAAGCCTTTGACTATAATGTGAAGTAAAATTATGTTATCTCAAAAAATAAGTAAAATTTAAGCTGGAAAAAATCACATAAACATAAATAAATAAATAAATAGTAATACTTTTCATGTTGACTATGTGTGTTTTTACAAATGCAAACATAAGGAAACAAATATTTCCATTGCTTTACTTGCAATAATGTTGTATTCTACCATATATTTTTTGTCTGAATGTATTTCATGCATACCAGGTACTTCAAAACAGTCACAGAAAATGAAATTAAAGATAAAATGTAAACATTTTTTGAGGTCTATGCATATGTGCAATCTTCAAATGTTTGGGAAAATGCATATTTTAAAAACCTATGCATAGGTTTCAAGTTTTTTGCATGGAAATAAATTTGTTTTAAATTTTAATTTTCAGGAACTTTTTGAAGTGCCCGTGTAGTTTTTTTGTTTGTAACTTGTCCTCACACTGTGCTAACAGTGTTGTAATACCCACTGTATTTTACCTGACCCTCAGAGGAGCCTTGGAAGAGCAGGGCAGGCGTTACTAACTCCGTGTCATTGGAATTAGTGCATTCATGACAGCATTCCCCTATAGCTCTTGTCAGCTCTGGAGAGTCCTCCTCGTACCACGCGGTCCAACACCGTTCCCAGGACACTCAATGGTCGAGGTCAGTCATAGCCTTGACTGCTCTAAAAAACACAGCCGCGTGGAAGAGTCCAAGGGAGGAGGAGGGAAAGCTTATTCCTGAGTATGACTTGGATGAGATGGAACTGTGAAGGGGCTCCTATCTTTAAAGAGGCGGCTACAGTAACTACGTCTAGTTTTCCATACAGCTTAGAAAATTATACTAACTAGAAGTGCATTGGAACCAGATCTCTAACACAGTGGCCTAGGAACACAATGGAATACCATAGACTAATGAGGGCAAACGCTCCATGGACTCGCACAGCGTGAATGAGCATTGTCAGAAGCACACAAGCGTTGGGAACAGAAGGTGGACACCAAAGAGCACACTCCAGTAGGTGCATTAAGATAAGTGCAGGGGCCCAACGCTGTGGCCTAGTGGACGAGGCTGCCGCCTGCAGCACCAGCATCCCATATGGGCACCAGTTCGAGTCCCAGCTGCTCCCCTTCCAGTCCAGCTCTCTGCTGTGGCCTGGGAAAGCAGTAGAAGATGGCCCAAGTCCTTGGGTCCCTGCACCCATGTGGGAGACCTGGAAGAAGCTCCTGGCTCCTGGCTTCAGATTGGTGCAGCTCCAGCCATTGCAGCCAACTGGGGAGTGAACCATCGGATGGAAGATTCTCTCTCTCTTTCTCTGCCTGGTCTTCTCTCTGTGTGTAACTCTTACTAATAAATAACTAAACCTTAAAAAAAAAGTAACTAGGAGAGAAGTTCATGTTACAAATAAATAAATAAGTGCAGGGGCCGGCACTGTGGCACGGTAGGTTAACAGCACTGGCATCCCATATGGGCGCCGGTTCTAGTCCCAGCTGCTCCTCTTCTGATCCAGCTCCCTACTGTGGCCTGGGAAAGCGGTAGAAGACAGTAGTGCAGAAGCAGGCACGTGAATCTCCTCTGGCACAGGAGGCCAGGGGAGTGGTACCCATGGCAGGTGCACCGCCAGAAGGGCCAGAGGGAGGATTTGGAAGTACAGGTAACATTTTGTTTCTTGTCCTGGCTATGCTGTTTTGGAAATCTTTTGAACTGTGTAGGTTACCCTAAGTGTTTGGGGGAGTGAACCAGCAGGTGAGTGCCCCTTCTCTGTAGTTACCTTCTTTCTCTCAAATGAAAAAAAAAATATATATATATATATAAATGTGTGTGTGTGTGTGCATAGATATTGTGTGGCTCCTGCCAGGAGGCAAAGAAAAAGCCAGCAAAAGCGCAAAGGAGACTAAGAGGCATTGGCCCCTGCGCAGGACAGATGAGGGCGTGGCTGCCTTAGGAGCCCGAGGAGGAGGGGGAGGGTGCGCCTGAGCGAAGCCAGGAGAATGGAGCGCTGTCCTGCTCTGGCAGCACTGGGGCTGATGGCGAGCCCGCCGCGCCGCGGGTTCCCGGTGAGTGGAGGACTTGAGTATTTGCTGGGGCTGGGCGCGGAAGCGAGGGCATGGGCACAGAGCTGCAGTGTGGCCGGAAGTGTCCGCAAAGGGAGCATTTTTCACTCTTGCGGGGTGGGTAGGGAAGCGAAGGAACCCTGTGGTGTCTTCCAACACTAACATCCCGTGTTTGTAGACTCTCTGTGTCCGAGGAGGAAAACACGGCGAGGCTGAGCCCTGGCACTTGCAGGTTGGCCCAGGGACTCCTGTGGGGCCCCTCACTGGGTCCCCAGGGGCCTGGAGCGCTTCCCTGCCGGCTTCCCCCATCTTCCCAGCACTCACTGTTCACACACCATCACAGGGGCGCCAGGATACCCGGCGCACAGCCGCTTCTCTCGGGCAGCCAGTGTCCTCCCTGTGGGCTGAGGTGTGGCAGCGGGGACGCCGATTCACACCAAACTGGAAATGCCGGGCGTGGGAGGGGTCCTGGAGGCTGGCCTTTCTTTTTGGCTCTGAGTCCAGGGAAATTTCTAGCAGCCGTCAACTCTCTGGGAGAAAGAGGGGAGGATGTGGCCTAAGTTGTTTAGAGCAAAGTTTTCCAGGTGAGGTGGAAGCTGTGTTTATTGAGGCTGGGTGTTGAAAAACAGGGGAGAAGGAACAGAATTATAGCGTGACCGGAAATGATTGTAAATGGAGAACTGGAGCACTTTTCACTTTTATGAATTCTAAGCCCCCGTGTGTGCAGACTTTAGTGTCTAAATGTGGGGCGACATGGTCAAACATTCCCAAGGACAAGTGCTTATTCGGTCACTTCATCTTGACGGAGGAAGAAAAATCAAAAGTGAATACAAGGAAGCTGAGAAAGATAGAGTTGAGAAATTTAAAACCAAATATATCAGATTGTTTTGAAGATGAATCTAACCTAAATAGGACATGAAGGCAGAGTCTCCTCTTATCTATCAGTTTCCGTTACAGTGGCCTATTGCAGTCCAAAAATACTACATGGAAAATTCCAGAAAGAAGCAATGCATGCATTTTAAACTGGTGAATAGTGGGAGTTTTTGTTTAGATTTTGGAGGCATAGAGTGAGGGAAAAAAGGAGAGACAGTGTCCATCTGCTGATTCACTCCCCACCAATGCCTTGCCCCCGAGCAGGGCTGGGCTAGGCCAACCAGGAGCTAGAAACTCAATCCAGACCTCCTCTATGAGGGGCAGGACCCCAGTTACAGAAGCCATCACTGCTGCTCACCAGGGTCTGCGTTAGCAGGGAACTGGAAGTGAAGCCAGAACCAGAAATCAAACCCAGCACTCCGATCCGGAGCACGGGCATCCTGGCCAGCATCTGAACTACTAGACCAAACACCCACCCTCTGCGATGAAATCTGTCTCCAACTCCGTGCATGTCCCCGGGGACAGGAGTCACCCCTTTGTCTGCTACATGCATACCATATGCACTGCTGCCCATCAGACACTCAGTGGCTGTCTCAGTTATGGGATTGAGTGTCATGGTGTCACAGTGCTGTGTCCAGGCAACCCTCATTTTGTTTCATGTGAGCCCTGAAGTCTAAGGGAGGTACAAGAGGCCTCAGGATGAAACGTTGAAGGACAGATGAACTCTAGTAACACAGGGAAATCTTGCAAGGCATACAGGGGGGTGGGGGACCAGCAGGATCTGGTACGCTCTGTGGTCTTGGAAGTATCTCTGTGGATAGGAGGTGTTGAGCAGAAAGTTAGAACTTAGCCCGTGTGTGTGAGAGGGAGCTAAGGCGAGCACCCCAGAAAGGAATGCCGCAGCCTCTGGCCACCTTGGGAACACATCTTGAGAGCAGCCCAGGATTTCACAGCACAAAGTCCTGCCCATACCCTGATAACTTTATAGGTGGTCCCAGCCTTCCCGCACGGAAGGCACCCCAGTTGAATCCTCTCTTCCCAGAACCAAGTGGACTACCCAGCCTGATAACATCTGGTAATAAGACCTTGGGAGGAATTTTATTTTGTCCAGGAGAAACTCTTTTGTGCAGGAAAAGAGGGTAGGGGGAAGGAAAAAGCGAGAACTGGACCCCCATCTCCTTGTAAGCCCCAAATCTAAATGCCTTCTGGAGTGGTGCCCATCTGTTCTGACGGACGCCCTGTCCCATTAAACCTTGTGACTAGGGGCCTACACTGTGGTGTAGTGGGTAAAGCCTACAGTGCCAGCATCCTATATGGGTGCTGCTTCTAGTCCTGGCTGCTCCACTTCTGATCCAGCTCTCTGCTGTGGCCTGGGAATGCAGTAGAAGATGGCCCAAGTCCTTATGCCCCTGCACCCACATGGGAGACCCATAAGAAGCTCCAGGCTCCTAGTTTCGGATCAGCAAAGCTTCGACCATTGCGACCAATTGG